CGTTTATTGCAGCAATTTCCACAACAGCAAAAACATGGGAACAATCAAAGCCCCCAACTCTAGAAGGGACAAACAAGCTCTGATACATTCATACTACGGGAATTTTAAACATAAATAAAAAACAATCATTCTCTTAAATACCCAAAGACATAGACAAAACTAGAGAACATACCCTTCGCAAAACCAGTCAATATTACAAAGACATTTCGCCATTGTTATAAAGAGAAACCAAAATGGAATGTGGTTTATTGATGACTATGTGCATTGAGGATTAACTGGGTTTTAATCCACATAGGGCTCCTGTAATGGATTTTGTGCTACCACCTTTATGCAAACCAGGTGTTTAGAATTTGTGCAAACAGGTGTTTAGAATTTAGGCATTAGCATCGTTCCCTCCTCCATGTTCCAAACTTATTATTTGCAATCCTTGGATCACGTAGACTGGTGTGCTTCTTCTGTGGGGACTTAGCTGACTCCTCACTTAGCTGGCCCCTGGGGAAGATCTATGATGTGCAATACAATGACAATGATGTCTCCAAAAGGGAACCAGGGACTTGTAGAAACAGTCACTGTATGAATGGATTTGAGCTCTCACTTGATTATAGCCCTAATATAGGAACAACTAGTTTGTATGACAAGGCCCTGCCTGGTACTCACTCTCATGAGAAGATGACTGAAGACATGGATGACATAGCAAAGTGAGGCGAAGAAATCAGATCATGCCTGGTTATCATGAACAATAGTGTCTGGAGTCTTAAAGGTTTGTCTCAAAATTAGCTATGCTTTTTAAATTTATATCTATCTCCTACACTAGATTATTGGCTCCTAGATTGCAGTAGCTATTGCCATTTATTTCTATAGACCCTATGCCAACTGCTTTGTGTCTAATAAATGATGCATAAAAATTTGCTTAATTTTATATATGTTGCTTAAACAAGCCGAACCAAGATTCTTTCAAAGCTATCTTCCAGAAAATACCTACTGTTAACAGCAAAGTTAACACACATGTAATTTTCCACTCTAATATATAGCTATCGCAGCATTAACAGTCTCCTTTTGATTCCTGAATGAAGTCTCAGAACACATTTAATACATTTGTACATACAAGGGGCTTTAAATTATGTGAGGGTTAATTGACTTATGTCCGATTTACTGAATGCTTAGTCAGCATTGCTAAATAAAACTTGTAGAAAATTGAAAGTTATGGGTGGTCCTTATTGATTAAAAGTTTAAAACCTTATTTAGGAGATCATACTTTTAGACCTTTGAAATTAGGGACATTATGTGTGTAGTTGCTACAATGCTGCTGGGAAACAGTCTCGAGGGAATTAGATGCTGGAGATAGCTGAGGCATGAATCAGACATGGGTAAGGCTGATCTCTGCTCGGGACAGACACAGAAAGAGAACTTGAAGAGCAGAAGAAAAAGGACATTAAGAAGAATAAAAACCAAGTAAGAAATAAAAATGACCTGGGTGTGTCAGCAGTGAGCTTGACCGCAGTATGGTCAGTACATTTCAGAAAACCAGCAGGAAACCAGATTGGAGGGATCATGGAAGCTTATGGTTAGAACTTGTGATATAAGCTCTGGTAATCCTTACAAGCCACTGAAAATATAGCCAGTGTTCAATGATTATTAGCTGTTCTTTTTGTAGTGGCTAGTATATCCTGCCCCATGCTAGTTTGAGACCGTTTCCACAATACCTTGGTTCAGAAACTCCATTCAGCTGAGTGTGGTCTCAGATGCTGACCTCTTAGCAACTGACTTTTAAATCTGAACGCCAACTTGATGAAATGTACTATCAGGCTGGCTAACGTCACATTTTCTTACATCGAAGGTACCTGAGTGCTTACATTATAACCAGAAGTTTGCTTAGTGAGGGGACAGTCAGCCTAAGATGTAGTTCTCTCTCCTCAGGACAGATGGAAATGGACTGATCTTTACCCTGAGGGGCTCCCTCCTGTCCCTCATTTTCTTTGGGTTAGATACGTATAGCTCAAATGATTGGCTAAAGGTATATTGTTGTTGCTGAGTTGATTCTGACTCATAGAAACCGCAGGTGACAAAGCAAAGTGGCCCATAGCTCTGTGCATTTGATTTATGGGGTTGACAAAGAATACTCAAAGTACCAGACTTCAAAAAACCCAAACAAATCTGTCTTGGAAGAAGTACAACCAGAATGCTCCTTACAAACAAGGATGGTGAGACGTGTCTCATGTACTTTGGACATGTCAGGAGAGACCAGTCCCTGGAGAAGGACATCCTGCTTGGTAAAGTGCAGGGGTAGTGACAAAGAGGAAGGCCCCTGATGGGTAAAACATCAGAATTGTGCTGATGATGCAGGCCGGGCAGTGTTTCATTCTGTTGTATGTAAGGTTGCTGAGTCAATGGCCCCTAACAACAACGATGGGCTTTCTTGGCTTCAGTCTTTACCGAAGCAAACTGCCAGGTCTGTCTCCAAATAGGGACAGTGGGTGGGTTTGAATCGCCAACCTTTTGGTTAGCAGCCAAGTGGTTAACATTTTGTGCCACCAGAGCTCCTTAAAAATGACACACAAAAATCCCCCAAGGCTCCTTAAAACACATCTTGATTGCCATTTAAATGTTTACATTACTGAGACTTTGCTAGAATCGCTCACTCAATAGTTCTATTAAACATATATAGATCACATGCTGTACTGGGATCTAAATATAAAGACAGGGAAAATATACTGTCCTCTGGGGCATTATAGTTTAATTGGGGGTGGGAGACACCTCTGTACAGATAATGTAGTTTATAGTAGATACTCAACTAAAAATAATCCAATATATACTTTAAAAGATCGTGAAGCAGAAGGGTGGACTGGGAAAAACTAGAGACAAGGCAATATGGCACAATGTGCCATTCTCAGACTCAGCATATCTAAACATAATTTACTGATATTTCACGGTATCCCTCATATTTGTCTTCCTCCTCCTATATTTTTGGTCACACATTACTTGCATAAAAAGAAAGATTGAAAAAATACAAGAGGCTTAAAATGGAAAGATGATAATAAGGCTAGCTTAATCATGGTATGGACCATTCAAATATACTCTATTATCTAGGCTGCAGCTGGAGTAGGAGGTAGTAGGCCTGGACTATCTGCATTGCAGTGGGTTCAGAAGAAAACGGAAGGTGATGGAGTTTAAAGTACTGCACGCCTTTCTGGAAGTCTGGATGAGGTAACAACGACGACATTAGGATAAGAGAAGGTTTTTGTTAGTGTAGTTCGGGAAAGACTAGGGGAAGTTTACAGATAGAGGAAGACACTAACAGAGTACAGATGAGCAGATAATAGAACAAAATTCTGAATTGCTGCAGGCGGGAGGACTGGGCGCCCAGATAGAAGCGCATAGGAGATTAATTTTAGTTTAAAGGTCATGTGATTTTTCAATACTCTGAAGAGCACTCTCTGGGCAATTAAAGCAAGCTTACTTCTCACTATCTCATTATTTGAAAGTCACCGCATTTAAGGCAATAGTAAAAAATCTATTTTCTGACCATTTTGCATATTACTGACCCCAGTCTGACAAGTTAAGAATGGTGGGGTTTGCGCTGAGTATAAATGCTGGCTGTGATGGCTGAAGTTATGCATCAACTCAGTTAGGCCATGATTTGTAGTGTTTTGACAATTATAGAATGATGTAGCCTTCCTCCATTTTCACATAATATCAATTTTTGCACAATGACTGAGTCTTTGGAACTTAACCAGGTGAGTATGGATTCAGACAGATGAATTCTCAATTAGGCAGAGGCCCTTTAAAATGTTTTCTCTTGAGATTAATATTTATTTTATTAATTATAATTTATTAAGTATTTTATTAATTACATTTAATGAAAAGGCTGCTATTTAGTGCAAAGATTAGCATAAGACTAAACAATTTTAAAAGCCCAAGAGTTTCAATACAGCTCAATGGGCTACATGTAGCCTGATCACAAACGACCTGCCCTAAAGAATACATAGTTCCATGATTCAAAACCTTTCTCAGAGACGGCTGACTTCAGGTTTGGGGGCAGACTTGTTCTCTCCCTCATCAACGAGATGTCATTCAGTGCAATGGTTTTTAATAAGTTTCTGGCTCTGGCTTCGATGTTGGAGATACAAAAAGAAATAAAGCATACCCCAGTAGCCTTCAACACAACCCACTTTGCTTACTTGGAGAAACAGACAAGCAGACAGATAAGATAAAGTGTGATAGAATTTGTAACAGGAAATTCAGGATCAAAATTGATGGACAATTTCAGATAAACAGGTCAAGCCCCACCCACATTCTACAATATTTAATACACCCAAGCAATATGTAGGGGGAAAATGGTACCAGATTACTTGGTGTAATTTTGAAATGAATGAAACCAATGCTATTTATTCCCTCTAAAAGGAAGCATGCGTATAAAATGCTTTCTCTATTGATTTACTTACTCCAGACTAGATAAAATTTACAATATTTTTACTTCAAAGTATTTTAATTCATATTAGTGATTAACCTACAGTTCATAATGATATCTAACATTTTTGTCCTTCTACTTTTGATTTTCCTCTGTATAGCTTTCTAAAATGGACATATATTAATGATAACACATTTTTCAAATATCAAAGTTAGAACTTAGGTTTTTTTCCCTGAAGCAATGTATTAATTCAGTCTCAGAAAATAACATGGTAATATAAAAATAATCTTAATAAAAAATTGGTTGATATTTGTGTAAAAATTAACAAGATGAAACTTAATTTTTAAATCCCATAATTTGAATACATTTCAATTAATTATACCCATCATAAATTATCTTTATTAAACAAATACTAATCTTGCCACATAAAGCCTAGATATTTAAAAAGAATTATGTATTTAATCAAAACTGATACAATTATTTTATTTAAAATGATTACAATAAAAAGCAAACATCTAGCAGCTATTCATTTCATTTTAGAAAATATGTTTTTAAAGATTAAAAGTAAACTTTCAAACTTATTGACATGAAGTTATTTTACTTAAAATTGTTATAATAAAAAGCAAATAGATATCTATAAGATTTTCATTTCATTTTAGAAAATATGGTTTTAAAGATTAAAAGTAAACTTTCAAACTCATTTCCAGAATGAAAATTTCTATCACAGAAATGTTTAATAATACTTAATAGGTTAAATCTTTAGCGTAATCCAATAAATTTAAAACTTTCTACTTGTTCTTTCTGACAAAAACAAAGCATGAACTAAAGAATTAATCATAAAAGGTAACATTAATTTCAGAAAAGAAAAAAAAGGCACATCCAGGCAAAATAGTCAAGGCGATTCATAAAATGTCATGTTACATTTCTGCTGTGCATAATCGACTGACTCCATATATATCACTCTGGAAGATTCTAGAATATGACAAAGGATATTTTGTAAAAGCGAGGCAAATATGAAGACATCACTCCTTTACAACAGTGTTATTTTATTACCACTGTATAAGGCTTTTAGGAATGTGTAATTAATTATACAACTGTCTGAATTTCTGCTTTCCTGTACAGTTTTGCTTTTTTATCCTTTTAATTTCAAATTCATTTATTATTTTAATGATTTTGAGTCTGTTGTCAGATACTTGATCGTCTTTCTGGCCTTGGTACACATTTCATAATTGCAGCTTTCCACAATACTGGTGCAAGTAAAAGACTGAGAGTAGTCACACTTAATATAAGGAGGTAGACCTGTGAATCAAAAGTGTATAATTATTATCTCCATAATAGATAAATTGACATTTTCTTCTGAACAAGAGCTGATATTTGACCATCAGTGGAAAGCTATCATCAGTTCCATATGAATAATGTTAAAATTAGATTATTTTGTCTAGCTTTATAAATTATGGTGAATTAACTCTGGGCTTATCATAAGGTCTATACCATAGGACCCACTAGTATATGATACTGTTGTGTTTTTCTGCCACGAGACAGGTTCTGATTTGTGTCTAACGTAATAATGGATTCCTTACATTAACTCAACATCTTTGGACCAGGTCTCATAGCTCTGTTACACACAATACCATTGTTCAATAACTACTTCCAGTATTTTACTATTAAGACTCATCTTAAATTGCTAACATTTACCAATACAGGGAGAATGTAATTTGATTTAAAAAATTGTAAACTTATTTATTTTTAACAGTTCTGTTGACATATAATTCACATACCATACAATTCAATCTATAAAAAAGAGTTGGGCAGTCACTACCACAATTTCAGAATTAACTTAACTTTGAATGTTTTAGCAGCATTTACACTGTATCAGTAAAAAACGTATCATTCATTTGGCTCAAATTTAGAGAGAGCAATACTAAAATTATCATAGGGGCATGGAGGATTTTAATCTGCAATGTAACAATTGAGGAATTCAAAGTGTGGGGTAGGAGTGAAGCAGGGCAGAAGAAAAGAAGGGTGGAGCCAAGAAGATCAAAGGTGGAGCATCTCTACTAGGGATCCTTGCCAATCCCCTCCTGATAGTGCTGGAGTGGAGAACATTGTAACAAAGGAGAAGAAAATGCTGGCCTAGACCTTAAGAATCAGGTTGAACTTACCCAACTTTACATCGTGAGGACACCAGAGAAACAAAAAACAGAGTTTAGAGCAGCGGTTCTCAACCTGGGGTCCAACGACCCTTTCCCAGGGGCTGCCCGATTCATCACAGTAGCAAAATGACAGTTATAAAGTAGCAACAAAAATAATGTTATGGTTGAGGGGTTACCACAACATGAGAACTGTATGAAAGGGGCGCGGCATTAGGAAGGTTGACAACCACTGGTTTCGATTAAGGGAAGGGGCTAAAGGCTTAAAACAAATTTCCAACAGAATTTACTAGACGTGGAATTCTATGTCTACAAGTCAACAATTTATGAGATGCTGACAAGTTCCAAGTGGGGAAATGGAGACCCAGAGCTAATTTACCACACCTGACACGTCTGGGCAGGCGAAAGGCTGGTTGCCCGAGCCCTCTTTAGAATGCACAGTCTCACAGAGTAACCCTGATGCAAGTCCGGCAATTTGGGGAGCCAGGAATTCACATTTCTACAACTAGTACCCAATGTGTCATCCATTAAAACACAATCTGAAACAAACACAATTCTTTGTCATCTTCACTTTGCTCTCACTGAAACAGTATGACTCTAATTCTAGTTCTAACCTTTCTTAGTTATAATATCCATGTGTCCTCAGATCATTCCAGGTAAATAATCAACTCAGTTTTGTGACCCTAAAGGAAAATCTAGACTTTAAAGATTAGTCAGCATTTAACATTACACAACAATACACAGTTGCGTTTTTTTTTGTTTTTTTACCACAATCCACATCCCTAAACCTTCCTCTTACCAATTTTTCTGTGGGGAGAATGGAAAAAAGAATTTTGGGGGGCGGGGGTGGGGGGGAGTTGTTTCACACTTCAAATTCTTCTATGTGCATTAAATACTTTGTAGGTCTGTCTTTACTATAGCAATATTAGCCACGGACAATATCAATTCATATGGATTTGTTTGGAGAACTACAACTTAGCCATTCTGCTGATAAAAGAACTGACCAATTAGGAAACAGGGACTTTGCAATCAGAATTTTAAAATCAGAAGTTAACTTCCCACCATCACTTTTTTCTTTTAATTTGCTACTGGGTTAAGTTATCATTTAGCATTTACCTTTTAGGTAGATAAACATTTGTTTATCAAGATATTACGCAAGAAATTATGCAGCTTGTGCAAGCGATCCACTTGGGTGGCCCTAGCACAGCACAATAAACTATCACAAGCCAAAAGGAATCTTAAAGTGTGGAAAGATCCTTCACTAGTTATTCTTTGGGCTTAAGAAAGAAAATAATCAGTACTGAAGGGATCAGTTATCTGGCGTCAACGAACAAAAAATCGTATCTTGTGTGCTCACCTCCATGATACGATCGCT